AAGTACGAACAAAGACATTTCTCAAAGAAATACAAAACTAGAGAAACTAGAGAAATTATTCTATTTCAAAATTACAAACTCACTGTGTCATAGAAAGGTCTCCAGAGATGAATGAAGACCTTCACAATGAGAGAACAAGATGTTTAAACACTACATGCTACCAGTTTACCAGAGTAGAGTAATAATTTATACTAGGCCACGACTCCTAACACAAAGAATAAAAAGTATAACCAGCAATTATACAATAATCTAATATACAGAATCCATATCAATATTCAGAATGCTGATCCTAAAGCACTGATGAAGCTAAAGCTTTGTTTGACCTATTGTTGTTGTTTTATTTTTTTTTAATTAAAAAAAATTTTTTTTTAATGTTTTATTTATTTCTAGGAGAGAAAGAGAGAGAGACAGTGTGAGCAGGGGAAGGTCAGAGAGAGAGGGAGTCACAGACTCTGAAACAGGCTCCAGGCTCTGAGCTGGCAGTCAGCACAGAGCCCGACGAGGGGCCCAAACCCACGAACCGCGAGATCATGACCTAAGCGAAAGTCGGACGCTTAACCGACTAAGCCACCCAGGCGCCCCTTGTTGTTGTTTTAAACCTGAAGTTAATCTTGAGATTAAAACCTGAGCTGAGATCGAGTTGGATGTTTAACTGGCCGAGCCATCCAAGTACCCCATGGCATATTCTTACTAAAAATAGTTACAGAGTTTTAAGTTTCTTTTGGTGAAGTCCTATACCAATATGTAACTATGTCTGACCTATACTCTATCACAGAAATCCTTACCTGCTGCTCTTAGACAGTGTTAAGAAGTATACCACTCTTCAAAATGTTTAGCAAGACAAAAATCTTACTTACTAGGTTCAACTGATAGTTATATCCAATGAAGTTCAATGGAGAGTCCATCAAATGTGCACTATGAGTCAGATAACATGCTAAGCATCATGGCTTCCCTAAGGAAGTTAATGGTCAAAGGGAGTGGTCAAAGAGTTCACAAACATATAAAGAGATACAATTAATTTTAATATAGTTGATGCAAAGAAAGAGATATGCAAAAGATGTCATGGGAGCAAATGAAGGGCACACAGCCAAACTATGGTGTTTAAAAGTGGTTTCCAGGAGTAGGTAATTCAAGTCATAGAGTGCATCATGAGCAAAGGCACAGACACATGGAACAGCAAGACATGTAAAGGAATCCATAGCTCAAAGTGCAAGGTTAGGACTGGAAGAAAGTAAGAACAAAAGAATACACAGAAGCTAGAAAAAGGAAGATATTGTATACTATGTTAAGCTTAGCTCTGCCCTATAGGTGACCAGGAGGCATCACAGTGAGTAAGCAGAATTTGCACAGTTAGCTCTGTGTTTTTAGACTGAGCCCCCTAATGGCAAATTAAAAAGATGGTTTCTAAGAGGTAAGAATGGAGAATACAATGAGTCTAGAGAGATGATGATGGGGGCCTAAACCACAGCAGTGATAAGGAGAATCCAGACGGGTAGATCAATCTGAGCAACATTTTGGAGGAAAAATTGACATAACTTTACACTGGATACATGGAGTGAGAAGGGGCGGGGGGGGGGTGGCGGGAGGGGGGACATGTAAGATAATTCCCAGACTTCTGGAACTATGCCCAATAGGGTAGAGTTATATTAAAAGTTCATTTTAATTATGTTGAATGTCCTCCACTTCTTTTATTCAAACCTTTTTTAATTTTTAATAGAAATACTCTCATATTACGTATATAGACTTCCTTGGCACCATGCCCTAACACGATTCTGCTTCAAAGTACAATACATCTATTTCCTAACCATGTGTTAAGATATCTAGGATTTGGCAACCAACACCTTCAACTTATTAAATATGCTGAATAATCCTCACTACAAGTTTTTTTATTTACTACTAATTTATGATAGCTATGATAAAGAATCTATTAGTATTCTAATCACCTTACTAATAGTTACATGCCTTTCATTCTAATATTTATGTTTATGTTCATCTTATAGTTTAGTGCAATGACCAGAACTTCTAGAATAAATGTTAAATAATAATGGGGGCACATGGGTGGCTCAGTCAGTTAAGCATCTGACTTCAGCTCAGGTCATGATCTCACAGTTCAGGAGTTCAAGCCCCGCACTGGGCTCTCTGCTGTCAGTGCAGAGCCTGCTTCAGATCCTCTGTCCCCCCACCCTCTCTCTGCCCCTTCCCCGCTCACGCTTTGTGCTCCCTCTCTCTCTCAAAAATAAATAAATAGAAAATTTAAAAATAAATAACGCAGATATCTTTGTTTTGTTCCTAAATGTTAGTTTATCATGTTTAGAAAGTACCCACCCATTCCAACGATACCGACTTTTTTAAAAGCTCACTTATAAAAGATCACCATTAAAAACTGAAACATAAAAATTAGGTCATTCATATCTGATCCTATTACAAATCCATCTTTTACCTCAAACATTTGGAAATAAATTTCATTTTTATATCTGTATTATAAGTTACAAAATATAAAGTAACTATTCATAAATTCTTCCCCAAAATGTTAATAAAGTATAATATATAATTGATCTCTGCCACTATTTTCCTATAGAAAGGACATAAAATCTTACAACAACCACAACAAAAAGAAAATGTAGTTTACAGGAGATACTAACTACAGCTAGTATATTTTAAATATATTCAGATTTAAATTTGAAATGACCAGAGCAAAATACATGTTTAATAAGGATTAAAAACCACCCACTAAGAAAGTAGTGGTCTTACCTGTAACGAACATGAAAAGAATGGTCTTCCCTCATGCTTATCAAATTTTCCTCCATCGAGTCATATTATAAGCTGAGTAAAATACGAAATTATTTTATTTTCAGCCAATCCAGTTCTTTACAATGTAGAATTGTTGCAGCACATTGTCCGGTTAGTATATTAATGAATTGGTGTTAATACATCCTAAGCTCCTGCTTCTTCTTTATTAATAATGAAAGGAGGTCAATGTCAGACAGCTTAAAGGTTCAAAATGTGTCCCAAATCCTTGCATCTCTGGCCCTTTCAGCAGCACTTCAGCAACATTTCTGCAAAAGGAATACAAGATGCTTTGCTTGAAGTCCTATTTTCAAACAATAACCTAACGTAATTCCAAGCGGCACATAATCACAGAGCTAACTCCACACACTGCTGTCCTGTCAATCAGGGGAGAGACAGCAGAGGGCTTAACTGTCACCATAGAGCTTCTAAATAAGGATATGAATATATGATTTCATCTGAGACCTGTTCTTTAGTTTTTAAAATTCTCTTAAAATATGGTAATTTTATGTATTATTTTTATTATAAACAAATTTAGGAGAATGTGTTAAGAGTATCTAAAGACAAAATTATGATACTCCAAGCTTTTAAAAACTGCTATTATAACAAGTTAAATAAAAAGTCAGTAATTATTTGAACAAGTCAAATCCAAACTTTAAATTTATTCCTTCAAGGGGCACCTAGGTGGCTTAGTCGGTTAAGCGTCCGACTTTCGCTTAGGTCATGATCTCATGGTTCGTGGGTTCGAGCCCCGCGTCGGGCTCTGTGCTGACTGCCAGCTCAGAGCCCGGAGCCTGTTTCAGTCTGTGACTCCCTCTCTCTCTGACCCTCCCCTGCTCGCGCTGTCTCTCTCTCTCTCCTAGAAATAAATTTTAAAAAAAAATTAAAAAAAAAATTATTCCTTCAAGATATTTGTAATCATTAGATTATATTTGTATTCATTTGTTCCCAAAGTATATTCTATTTTTACTAAGATCTTTAAAGTGTTTTTATTAAGTACAAAAAATATAGAAAATATGTGTATAATAGAATAAGATAATATTTATATACCACCACCCAATTTTAAGAAAAAGAAGAATATTATCACTGTCTTTGAAGTCTCCTGGGTGCTTCAACCTAAGCCATCACACCTTCCTTTCCCCTCTAAGGTGATCGCAAAACTGAATTTTGTTCATTATTCCCTTCTTGTCTTTATAACTTTAGTACAATGCTTATATAGGCCTAAAAATCATATCATTTAGTTTTATGTGGTTTTACTTAACATTATGTTTCTGAAATTCATCTTGTTGCACATAACTACAGTTTGTATATTTTAACTGCTGTGTACCAAATATGTTTTTATTCTGCTATTGATAGACATTTGGATTGTAATTTTTGGGTTTTTTGCTATTACTGAAGTACTGCTATGAACATTGGTAGTAATAACTCAAAGTACTGGTTAAACAGCACAGCAGATAAGCTAAAGAGAACTCGAAGAATATCTGAAGAGATTATCCAGACATTCACAAATAGATAAAGAGATAAAAATACTGAAGAGCAGTTCAGAGAAACGGAAGACAAAATGAGAGGCCCTGACATAGGTCTAATAATCATACTAGATGGGAAAAACAGAAAGGCAAAATGTTCAGTGATAAAGACAGAATGAATCAGAATTGAAGACAGATTTGAATTAGCAGATTGATGAAGCACACTAAGTCCTAAACAGGATAAATAAAAATGAATACCACACCCAGATCTATCACAGAGAAACTATAGAACGTCATATATAAACTTTAACTTCTAAGGTAACAATTGAGAGAAACAAAGTAGATATATGTATGTGTGTATATATAAATAGACATAATTTATACACACATACACAATTATTATTAAGTCCTGGAATCTCAATGTTATAAACAACCCTATAGGTCAATTAGTCTAACATTTTACTACCTCATTCCCAGAAAGTTCTTGAGGCAGCTAATCCTAATTTTGAACAGTCCTTTTAGAAAATTGTTCCATACTTTGAGGAATCTATTTCTATCCAGTTTTTCCTTCTGCTGCCATCCAATAAGCCTAATTCCTTTTTCCACATAGCATCCTTTTAGATATTTTAACTACCTGGGTGGCTCAGTCAGTTAAGAGTCCGACTCTTGGTTTCGGCTCCGGTCATGACGTCACAGTTTCATGAGTTCGAACCCTGCATTGGGCTCTGTGTTGAACCTGCTTGGGATTCTGTCTCTCCCGCTCCCCCGTTCAGGCTGGTCTCTGTCTCTCTCAAAAATAAATAAACTTTTAAAAATAAATATTTCAACTATAACATAAGCTAGACTCTAAATCACACATACCCACTGCTTTGTTAATCAAGTACAGTTTGAGAGAGGTTAGTAGAAACAGAGCAGTGAGGATCTGTGAGGAGGAAGGAGGTAGAAGGTGGAAAGGACTAGCCTTGGGAATATTGACAAGCTTCCCAGAGGAAATGAGGTTTTCATATTAATAACCATTTTGACACATAAAAAACACAAAACCTTATTCCTCTTATCTTTCCCTGGGCCAGCAAAAGAAGCAGTGTCTTAAGAATGGATGAAAAGACAGGGTAGCAGCTATCAATCCAACAAACCCCTTTTTCTTTTATTCAGAATTCACTGGCCTCCTTAATAATAATAAAACACTGTTAACGCTATTAGTGTAGATATTAATAGCAATAGCTTCAACGTACACAAGGTTACGCTATAGCTAAACTGTCAACCAAAAGGTCTTCCCCTATCCATGTTGCGGTTTAGGCTATTTAGGCTGTTATTTATAAAATGGGGCAGAAGGTGAAGTACTAGAATAAATTAAATTTTGAATTAAATTAAGTTATAATTTAGTTGAAATATTTTATTCAGATAATGAAATTCCAAATTTTAGCAATCATTAAAAATATGTTAACTTCATACTTATTAAAATGGAAACATGCAGCCAAATTAACAAATGTAAATAAATGAAATTGTGAAATACCTTACTTAAGATTGCATAGAGACACATTTTAAAAATAATTAAAATAGGCAAGGTGAATAGAATGCTATTCACCATTTCCGTAAGGACAATTTATAACACGGTTTTACTATTCCCAAAAGAAGTGTATCCCCAAAGAAGTCACTCTTTCATTTACAATCTCCATAATGAAGTAGCATTTCTTGTAATTATTCACTGAACAAGTAATTCTTGATTCAATGATTAATTCTGCAAGAACTCTCTAACCAATTTAGTAACAATGTGTTCATTTATGCTCTATATTACAAAGGGCTAACAAACCCACTTCATAGTTAACACAGAGTTTATATATTACCAGTGTGACAGTAATACAATCTGTAACAAATATTAAATTATGTTCATTAGGATAAGAAAGTTTAATGACAGGACCAGGAAATAGAATGAAAATTATAGGTTTGAAAGAATATTAAGTAGTCACCAAATTTAACCTCCAATCTCCATTAAGACTTATTACTAATAATTCACAAGGAACATATATGTGCTTAGTAGTATCTCTCAGGTTTTAAAAAACAATGCTCCCAAAACCTCACTGCTAACAAAAACTCTCAGCATCTTTTGGTCTAATCATACAGAAATAAAGAGTAAGAAATAATTTTTTTCTATATGCTAGAAACTGACAAAAGCATACTGGAAGATAAGCTAGTATATAATTCTGATTGCCTCACTTTTAATTACCTGATTAGGAAGTCAAAATAGGCAGATTCCCTTTACACAGCTAGGTGGACTTCTAGGCACTGTCCAAAGTTGTAATCAGAGTAAACAATAAATCCTATCCTTGCTTTACTCCATCAGCAGTAAAATGTTTACAAACTAAGTGATGGGGAAACATAGGGGATACACGGTTAAACGTATTATCTTTTGTCCTTCTTTCAATTTATGCAAACTATCCAACATAAATGACAATAACCTCTGGTCTGATTCTTTAAGTATCTCTAATAAACTGGTAACTCTCATCAGGCAATAAATACAACTTACTTTTCTTGCCTCCAGGTTGGATAATCTAAATTCTTTAAAATTCTTTTATCTTCATAATTCCCTCTAAGGAGCAACAGTCAAGTTCTCCAAATCCCTTTCAGTTGTAATGTTTCAAGTCAGGTACAGTTGCCCTTTAACAATCTGGGCTGGGGGCGCCTGTGTGGCTCAGTCTATTAAGCGTCCAACTTCGGCTCAGGTCATGGCTCAGGTCATGACCTCATGGTTTGGTTTGTGAGTTGGAGCCCCCTGTAGGACTCTGTGCTGACGGCTAGCTCAGAGCCTGGAGCCTGCTTCAGATTGTGTATCTCCCTCTCTCTCTGAGCCTCCCCTGCTCATGCTGTCTCTCTCTCTTTCTCTCAGATATAAATAAAACATAAAAAGAAAAATTTGGGCAGGGATAAATATGGACAAAGAATCAAGAACACATTTAAAATGAAGTTCTTTTATATTAGACTTAAGGGTACTGGTCATAACAAATACACATCACATAATAATGAACATAATAAAAAAGGATGCCAAAACAAAGTCCAATAAGAAAGAAGAGTTCAGAGCTTGATTTTAGTGTGGCAGGTGCTGAGGGAACCAATTAAAGCAAGAAAAATTATTTTGACATCAGAATACATGACATGGGAAATTAGTGCCTAAAGCAAGGGAAGTCAGACCCTAGAATGGCTGGGTACTTGATTAGGTAATGTGGCTAAAAATACCTAAAGAAAAATGAAAAACAACGGCCACTGACTAGATAAGAGAAGTAAAGGTCAAGCAGTAACATAGAGCATGCAAGATTTCCAATTTTCAAAGTAGATGGAACAGTAGCAGTGCACAGTGACTGACAAATTGGATTGGAAGAGGGATACTTCCAAGGGGAGAAAATGGAATACTTAAGACTTTGAAGAGGGAAAAGTGTAAGACTTCTATTAAACTTTTGTACTCGGTAGAGTGCTATATTCACAAATAATAGCTGGAAAAAATAAAGATATCAAACGAGATAATCTGAAATCATATAAAATTTGATAAATGGGTAAGAATCTGAAGGGTTAAAAAAAGTAGAACTGAGTGACTGACATTACTGAATTTTTGCACATCTTACATTAAAAATTAATTAAAGTACCAATGAGATCTAAATGTTAATCCTGCAATAAGAAGTCAGTGGCAAAATTAAAGAGAAATTGCAATGAAAGAAAAAATTAAAGCAATGCATAAAAGTTCTGATTCTTTTTTCAACATACTCAATCTCTAAACCAATATCATAACCAAATTTTTATATAATACTCTGAACTAAAGATAACTCAAGATTATAAGTGTGTATCCATATATATCTATGTATGGTGTTGAACATGGTTTTAGTATCAACTGATAATTGTCATATATAGCAAATGTAAATTACTTTACAGAATCCTAAATTAATGAAATAATCGTAGTGTTTAGTTAAGCAAATCACTCTATGCTCTATCATTCTAGAGAAATGCAAATTTATCAGATTATGCTGTAAAACTGTATGAATAAAATTTTCCTTAAGCAAATACATACTTCTAAATAAGTACTCCAATTAAAGCTAAGTCTTAATTTATTGCTAATCTTTAAGTCTGCAACAATCAATGTGAGATATTAGGCCAAGTTAGTTAGAAAACAAGCATAGCTAACAGTGTAACTGCTAACTATTAACACATATTTTATTATAACAACTTTCTAATGAGCTATTTGTGACTATCAATTAGCTAAATAAATAGAATAAAATTAAAAGAATAGATTAATGGTTCTAGATTCCAAATAAATCTATATCTTAAAGCTATACCACCAGTCAGAAGGGTTTCCAAGTGTATTTGAAATTAATCCTCAAGGTCATGGGACACCTGGGTGGCTCAGTCGGTTAAGCATCTGACTTTGGCTCAGGTCATGATCTCACAGTTCAGGGATTCAAGCCCCACATCAGGCTCTATGCTGACAGCTAGCTCAGAGCCTGGAACCTGCTTCAGATTCTGTGTCTCCCTCTCTCTCTGACCCTCCCCTATTCATGCTGTCTCTCTCTCTCTCTCTGAAATAAATAAAACATTAAAAAAAATAAAAAAGAAATTAATCCTCAAGGTCATTATGAAAGATGTCAATTTATGCAAGCTAAAGGCACTATTTCAAACTCTCATTTTTATTACCCTTTTTTTTAAGTTTGTTTATTTTGAGAGAGAGCGTGTACAAGGCGGGGAGGGGCAGAGAGAGAGAGGAAGAGAGAATCCCCAACAGGCTCCATGCTGTCAGCACAGAGCCAAATGTCAGGCTCAAACTCATGAACCACAAGATCACGACCTGAGACGAAACCAAGAGGCAGATGCTTAACCAACTGAGCCACCCAGACACCCCTTTCATTATTATTCTTGGCAGGTTAAAAAAATATACTATGATCCAAGGGTGCCTGGATGGCTCAGCTGGTTAAGCATTTGATTCTGGATTTTGGCTCAGGTCATGATCTCACAGTTTGTAAGTTCAAGCCCCACATCAGGCTCTGTGCTGACAGTGCAGAGCCTGCTTGGGATTCTCGATCTGTGCCTTTCCCCCAGTCATGCTCGCTCGCTCGCTCGCTCTCAAAAAAAATATATGTGTATATGTGTGTGTGTGTGTGTGTGTGTGTGTGTGTGTGTATCTCCATCCAGAGCTATGGCCTTTAGAAATGGCAAAACAACAAATGCAACCATTTCAGACTAATATAATCTAAACAATTTTAACGATATACAATAAGAATTCTTTTTCAGGTTTTCAATGTTTACAACTAAAAGCTCACCACTCTAAACAACTCTGCATAATCTTCCTTTTTTGATGGGGAACATTTGTATTTAAAGAGTCCAATGAATTATCCGTGGATAACCAAATACAAATATATATGAAATTTCAAATTAGATAAATACTAAAACAAAATATAACGTAGAAGAAGAAAAAGATTTGAATATTTCAAGCCTTGATCTTAGCATCGTTGTTAAACAGTGAGAAAGGACCAAGTGTGCGTCTATTTGGATAAGAAATGCTGAATGTTTGTGGGTCAATGGCAGTTTCCAAAAGTCTGTACACAAAGCACTATGGATATAATAATTATTACATGAGCAAACTCAGTGTCTTTGGTTTGGCAGGCCATGATAAATCAGGAAGAAGTTGAATACTGAAGATTTTTCTGGGGGGAGATACACTAGAAAGGGGCTCCATTTTTATATTATACATGGAGTCCCTCTGAATTATACCAATGACTACACCAATCATCAAAACTGCTGTTTTGTAGTTACAATCCTCAGTGATTACAATAATTCAAGAGGATAAAATAGTTGTTTAAAAATTTCAAGGGCAAAAGACAGATTGCTTTTATTTAACATTCCCAATCTTGGTTTCCTTTTTCCCTGCAAAGCAGTTACTGAACCACAAGTAATGCTCCAACAAGATTATTTATATTTAAAAATATAGGTATGTTCAACTAAAGGAATAGTTATGTTCATTAGAATATTAGTATTTTTCTCCTTATTACTTGGTTTTATTTCTCATCAAACTGAAGCCCAGAGTTTACAAATAATGTTAATTTTCTCTCCTACAAAAAAAGGTTAAATATAGTTCATTTAATGTATTAGTAAAATTAAGAACCTTCTGCAAGAGTTTCAATTAAACACATAAGAAAAATGATTTGTAGTTAACACTTACAAACACATAAAAATGGATTCATAGAAGTATTACAATACCAAAGTTATAAAAGGCATAGTAATGACTGAGAGAAAAAAGACATTCTAAATTTTCGTCATTCCCAATTATACATTCAGTGCTTTCCAAAGGACTACTCAGGTTAAAAGACCAAGAGATCACAGAATATGTCTGCAATCCAAAAACACTGATAATTTACACTAAGCCCAATTTCTACCAAAATAAAACAAAATCCTTACATGTACATATATTAGTCCTTGCCCTTTCTGATCTGTAATCTCTTTGTTAATAAATAAATAAATAAATGTTTATTTAAGTGTTTTATTTTTAGGGCCTATATAAATTTTGGACAACCATGATGCAATTAATTGGAGCTCAAAGAAACAAATTAAAAATAAATGTAGCTTTCTGTAGACACTGCTGTGCCGGAAAAAAAGAGAGAGAGAGAGAGAGAAGAGATAGATACACAGACAGAACGGGGAGAACACAACTTATAGAAAAGCTGGTAACCAAGTTACCTGAATAATTGACCTATAGCTATTCAGTACTATCAGTGTTGGTCAGTCATCATCAGCTTAAATCAAAAGATATATGAAAAACTCAATAGAGAACAGAGTGGTCCTTTCTACTAGCCATTGTTCTAGAGTTAAGTGACAACAAACCAGCTCTCTTAACAGGACTTTAAAAAAGCAAAACTGGTTTCAAATAAATTTTTAAGCAGAAATAAATCTCAAATGCACAAGGGTTAAAAATGTTAAAAGGGTTGCTAGAGAGTTTGAATTTAGAATTCTTTATAGGAAAATACAACTTTTTCTTCTTCCACAAGTTATCACTATCCTGGGGAAAAATGTGATTATTCATAGGATGAGCATTGGATGTTATATGTAAGTGATGAATCACTAAATTCTATTCCTGAAATCGTTATTACACTATATGTTAACTAACTTGGATTTAAATTTAAATAAATAAAAATTTAAAAATGTGATTATTCAATTCAGTAATGCTATGAGATATGGGAAGAATGATTCTATTTTTTTTCTCTAGGTTTTTTTTTTTTCTTTTTTAAAAAATTTTTTAAATGTTTTATTCATTTCTAGGAGAGAGAGAGAGACAGCGTGAGCAGGGGAGGGTCAGAGAGAGAGGGAGACACAGACTCTGAAACAGGCTCCAGGCTCTGAACTGGCTGTCAGCACAGAGCCCGACGCGGGGCTCGAACCCACGAATCGTGAGATCATGACCTAAGCGAAAGTCGGACGCTTAACTGACTAAGCCACCCAGGCGCCCCTTCTCTAGGTTTATTTATTGTTAGAGAGAGAAAAAGAGAGAGCAAGCATGAATGGGGGAGGGGCAGAGAAAGAGAGAGAGGGAGACAGAACTCTAAGCAGGCTCTGCACTGTCAGCGCAGAGCCCAACTCAGGGCTCAGACTCACTGAACCATGAGATCATGACCTGAGCAGAAGACAAGAGTCCAATGCTTAACCAACTGAACCACCCAGGTGCCCCTAGAATGATTCTAAATAAAGAGGACCAGGGAAAGCTTTTTGGAAGCAAGGAATCCAGCCGGCACCTTTAAAGGATAGGTAGACCTTATTAGGCAAATGGAGGAAAAGCATTCCAGTCACAGGGAAACGGCTCAAGCAAAAGCAAGGAGGTAGGAATGCACAGACTGTGTGCCCAGGACAAGCACACTGGGTTAGGAGTAGGAAAAGAGAAGTCTAAGACAGTACTGAAGTGTTAGGGATTGTGAATATGTATGTGGACTTGTATTTAACCCTGTAATTTTTTCAATGGAAGAATAACAAAGTTGGATCTGTGTTAGTACGATAAACTGGTAGCAACACATAGGGTAGAACACGGAGAAAGAAGAAAGATACTTCAAAAATTCTAGAAGCGGGGCACCTGGGTGGCTCAGTTGGTTGTACATCTGACTTCAGCTCAGATCATGATCTCACAGTTCCTGAATTGGAACCCTGCTTCCGGCCCACAGCTGTCAGCTCAGAGGCTGCTTAGGATCTGCTGAAAAATTTCAGTCAGTTAAGCATCCAAATCTTGGTTTCAGCTCAGGTCATGATTTGAGCCCCACATGGGGCTCTCTGTGCTGACAGCAGGGAGCCTGCTTGGGATTCTCTCTCCCACTTCTCTCTCTCCCCCTCCCGACTGCTCTCTTTCTCTCAAAATAAAATAAATAAACTTCAAAGAAAATTTTTTTTAAACTTCCAGAAGCAACTACTGAATAGGAAGTTTTCTCTTGTCATCTCACAACAAACACCAAGCAAATTGGTTTGCACATAATTGATGTTTAGCAAATTTTTTTGATTTCTTGCCTGAGAAGAAGAGAAGAGCTAAGAAGTGGCAAAGAACCCTAGGACAGTGAGAACACTGGGCTTTAATACATATCTGCTCCACAGTAAAGAGTATATTCATATTCATGTAAATACATCAGGAAAGTTTTACTCAATTTTTTAATGTCTTTATAAAATAGATGATTAAGGATATTGGAAATGTAACAGATTTAAAAGGTCCTAAACGGAAGACAGCTGTCCTAAAAGAAAGACTGAAATATTTCTGCATAGTTATCAACAAAACACAACACCTACAGGCATCTTAAAAGTGGACTATGTCCCTACAAATGGAATCCAGAGATCTGGAGGAGATTTAAACAGTCGCACAGAAGCAATACAGCGAGTGCTCTGGGATCAGGCCACAGTTTGAATCCTAGCACAGTGACTTATTAGTTAGATGATCTTGAGCTAGTTAAACTCTCAGAGTTGGTTTCGGCATAATGACACTTATCCAACATGTGTTGTGATGATGAGAGATCGGATTTATAAAGTACGTAACCCAGTGCCTGGCTCTGGTACTTAACGAAAGTACTCAATGAAGTATAGTAGTAATAATGTTAGTAGCTGTGATTATTTTAAATGTCTATTATTAGACTAATCTAAATCCACATCAGGTTTTTGGTTTTCAAATTCCAGAGAATTACAAAATTTTACTGTTTGGGTAAACCGCAGACATATTTTATGCTTAAGGCCATTTACAAAAAATCACTATAGGCTATCTTCATTGTAATTAGCCTAGCACCAAATCTGAAATTTATATTAAAATATAATATCTGTTAACACTTCATGCCTGACTTAATCACATTAGAAAATACAGCTAAACTGCAGCTCTAGCTTAAGCAGATTGGGGGGGAAATATCTCTACGGCAGCAACTTTTTACTTTGTATCTGCTCCACTTCTCATATTGTAAATAAGGAACAGCCGAAGGAAAGGGCTTGCCAGAATGAATACATGGTAAGGCGTAAAGCAGAGGAGGTCCGGGACTGCCCTTCTCCCGAGCCCTCACTCTCCTCACACATCCCCGTGTCAACCGACGGCGACCGTACCTTTGTTTAGAAGCAACATAAAAATCAACTAAAGCGGCTTCTCCAATAGTGACAACCCTAACAAAAGTGGTTTTTATCTGAGGTAATCACAGCGGTGGTTATCAGACCGGGAATCTTCGCACACCCTCCTAAAGTGGCAGCCTGAAAATTCAGCTGGGTTGGTACATTAACACCCCCCGGCCCCTCCCCGGCCCCCCTCCCCACCCCCTCCCTCCCCGCACACCACCTCCAACACAAGCCGGCAGAAAGGAAAGCCAAGAACCTACTTCGTTTCACTCCGGCAGGGTTAAATTATGCACGAAGGCAAATAAAATTTCCGTCCTTACTCGTTTTCTTGAACAGAGTTCAAATACTACTCGTTAATATGATCTAACTAGTTACTATTAAAACAAGGAAATGAATAGATTTTCCACTTTTTACTCTTCGAAGATTTTCCATAGATTATACAGATTTTCGGATAAGGGCTTTCTTAACATTCTCTTCTTACTAAAACTTTCCGCAGCAACTACCAATTTCTTTTTTTTTTTAAATAGTTTATTGTCAAGTTAGTTTCCATAGCAACGACCAATTTCTACGATAATTCGACAAGCCGGTGCGCAGAACGCGTGAACCGAAACGAGCAGCCGCAGGTGTCCGACAACACCGCCGGCTTCAGCCAGCCAGCGCAAGGCTGCACGTGAATGCTACCGGCCTCGGGTTAATTCCACAGGCGTTCGGGCTTTTAATCCACTGTCTGTTACGCTCAGAAGACGTGAGGAGTCGCTGCCCCCTATCACACTTAATATTTGTAAAAAGGGAACAAAGCTCTTAAACTTGACTCTCATTTAAAAATCCCGCAACAAGACAGAACTCGCACTTCAGCCAGCTGCTCCCCATCCCGTTTCTGGTTTCCTCACTCGGGTCCCCGCAGCGCGGGTCCCCGCCGACCACCCCCGAACACAGCGGGCGGCCCCGGGACCCGGGACCCACCTACCCTACCGTCCGGCACACGCAGGCCCGTCCCCGACAGCTCCCTCCGCGGGGCGCCGTCAGACGCTTCAGAACTCACCTCCCGCGGGCCGGCGAGTCCCGGGAGAGCGGCGGACGCCACGGAGCTGCAGCAGCGACCGCCTGGGGCGACGGACGGGTGGCCGTGGCCCCTCCTCCAGGCGAGTCCGCGCGCCGCGGGCGCCTCGCTAGGCAGGGGCACCGCGGGAGGCAGGCGCGCGGCCCCCGCCCCAGCTCGCTGTGGGTCACGTGAGCCAGAGCGCCCGCCGCTCTCCTCGCCCCCCAGAGCACCCCTCCCGGCGCAAGGGTCCCGCAACGCCGCCCGGCCTCCGCGGCTCCCTCCTCTGCGCCTGCGCCCCAGCTCCTGTTTCTCCCATTCAAACCGACAACGCCCCGCGTCTTTCGGACCCGCCAATGGCCGGCGTGGGGGAGGCGGGGCGGGGCGGGTGTCGGCGCTTTTGCCTCCGCGGTCCCCCGCGGGCGTGCAGGGGCGACGGGCCTGAGGGAAACTTTGGGGGGCCTGGCCCCCCTCCGCCGCTCCGGGGGCCTGTCCTCAACCGTCAGGCTGAAACTGCCTTGCTGTATCTTCTTCAGACACTGAAGGGTGGCGCGATAAATGTCTTCCAGAAAAATGTTCAGAGAGGCTGGGCGCCGAGAACAAATGCGTCCTGCGCTTCACACTCCGTCCGGCCTAGAGAATGAGTTTCCCAAGCGGCTTATGCGGGATAGTTAAGAAAAAAGAGGGCTCTGTGACAGAAACAGAGGGACCCGTGTGGAAGTCAAACAAGGCAGCCTCAGTTCTTGCGCGCCTGTCACAGTTCTGGCGGTTCCAGCTGTTCAGGAAGGCAAACTTGTGTTGACTGCAGAGTTGCCGGTCCCCAGGAAAATTGGGTGGCAGTCTACTCAGCTGCAGGCCAGTGTATGCCAAATACAACGGGAAGAGCAGTTTTACTTCCGTGCACCTCCTCTCCATGCCACGTTTAACCAGAAAATTGGTCTCAGTTCTTCACAAAAATACCAAGAATCAGATGAATTTAATTAGATTACTTCTCAAATATTTCTCCACCGAAATGAAATTTAAATGTTTCTGCCGGCCTAAGGATGTTAGAGGAAGCCCCAGTTTCAGTATCTCTCTGAATGATGGCCATAACCAGTGATCCAAGCAGTATTTCTCTTGCTGGGAATGTGTTACTGCAAATTGATTAAAATAACAGGCTTGGCATCAGACTAGACCTTGGCATCAGACTAGACCTGAATTTGAGTTCCATCTCAGCCAATTATAGGCTGATTGCCCTAGAACGAGTTACTTATCCTTCTTTAGCCTTAGTTTCCTCAACTGTAAAACACAAGTAAGAAATCCTCTTATAAGGGTGGTTGTGATACTTCAGCGAGGGAAATGTTGTTAAGCAGTTAACATTGCCTGACTGCTTAATATATGGTACTTATTATCAACAACTACCTTTAATATCAGGTACTTATAAATAACAACTGAATTAGATGGCTGTAACATTTCGGAGGTAGGTATTAGAATACCTTCTTACTCATAAATTCTTTTTTGGGTGTTGATAGGAAAACCACAAAGGAAGTGCGGTATATCAAATTCAACATGTCAAAAATGAATCATTATTTCCCGCCTGCAGATCTTTTCTTACACATGACTTTCTATCATTGGTATTAGTTATCTCCCTCTTACTCAAGCGGAATTAGTTTTTAGATTATCTTTTAAAAGGCGTAAATCAGGTTATGTCACTCTCCTATTTGAAACTTCTAGTTTTCATTTGGATTAGATTCATTGAGATTTCTCATTTGATTGAAAATAAAATCTAAGTTCCCTCTCATGGCCCACAAAGCCCTAAGTCATCTTTGCCCTACTCACCTCTCTATTTTCCTGTATTTCTCTCTCCTCCTAGCTTGCTTCCCTCCAAGTACATAAGACACTCCTACATCCCTAGAATAGACCAAGCCTCAGGGTTCTCTGAGGGCCTTCTCCCTGGAAGTTCCCTGGCCAAAATTTTTTCCCTCCGGCCCTTTAAATGGCTGGCTACTTTTCAGCCCTCAGCTTTCAACTTATTCATTACAGTATTTAGCAAGTGTTTATTAAGTTTCTGCTATGTGTCAGGAACTGTTCTAGGTGCTGGGAAAATAGTAATGAGCAAGACCGAGCACAGCCCCTGCTTTCATGGAGCCCAGTAAAAGTAAATAATAAGAAAAATATCAGGTTGTGACAGGTACCATGCAGAGAATTCAAAGTAGGGTGATGTGAGAGTGAATGACTGAAAGACTACTTTACATTGAGGGTCAAGGTAGTAAGAAAGTCCACTTTGGGAAGATGGTATTCAAACCAAGACTTTAATTATAAGGAGCCAACTTTCAAGCAAAGCTCAGGGAAGAGAATATTAGGGAGAGGGAACAGCTATAATGCAAAGCCCTGTGAGGGCAAGTTTTGTGGGTTTGAGAAACTGGAAAAAGACCACTACGGCTTAAGTGAAGTGAGGTAGAGAAGAACATACAAAGTGAAGTCACACCAGATCATGTAGACCTCTGTGAACCAGGATAATGAGTATGGGCTTTGTTTTCTAAATGTTATAATAGCCAGAGGAAGATTTTAAACATGAGAATAACTTCGTTTGTTTATATTTTTAAAGGAGCACTTTGAAACAAAACCAGAATCTCAGACATTCTATAAGACAGTTACCCCAGACTCTTCATAAACTTCGCTGTCATGAAAAACAAACCAACCAAAAAAGGTACATGAATCTTGATGGAGTCCTAAGTCAGAGAGGGAGGGAGAGAAAGAGAGAGAGAGAAGGAGAGAGACATACACATTTTAGAAGCAATTGGGGACATTTGAATGTAGATAATATATTAGATAATGTTAGAGAATTACTGTTAATTTTCCTAGAGGTGACATAGAATTATGGTTACATGAGAGAATTTTTTTTTTTTATTCTTAGGAAATGCAAGCTGAAATACTCAAGGATAAAAAGACATGACTTCTGCAACTTGTATTCAAATGGTTTAGCAAAAGACAGAGAAAGGAGAGAAATACAAACTAAATATTAACAATTAGATCTAGGTGAAGATATATCTCTTCTTCTTATACTATACTATTCATGTATTATTCTTTTACATTTTCTAGAAATTTGGAATATTTCAGAATAAAAAGTAGGGAAGGAAATCACTCTGTAGACTTCCATGTCTGACAGTAATAAACCAGATTCCTTGTTCAACCCTCCCACTGAAAACAACTTAAAATGGCTTTTAAATATTAAAAAAAGAATAGAAAACTTATCAGTGAGCCGGCATTCAAGTTAGTTTTATTGAGTTTTAGTTGTCGTGGTCTCATGAGGCATGGAAAAAGGAGACAAAGGCCAAGTCCTACCAAGATGAGGAATCTAATAAGAGACTCCACACATAGGTCAGGATCTCCCAAAGTCCTCTCTAACCTTTTGCCAGAAGACAACAAAAGAAAATTGCCTTTAATCATCCTTAACATAGAATCTCCTCTGAGATTTTTTTTTTAACCAAAGGCAATAATCTGCTCTACCTGGCTTGTCTGAAATTCAAGCACATAATATAAAGTGGTTTCAGGTTCGTGGTGCCCCCAGCCAGCTGGCAAAGGTAAACCAAATCACCTCTAGAGAAAATCAACTGCTATAGACTGAATATTTGTGTCTCCCCAAAATTTTATATTTAAACTTAATGTAACAGTATTTGGAGATAGGGTCTTTTATTAGATCATGAGGGTGAAGCACTCATGAATGAGATTAGTGCCCTTATATTAAAAATAAAAGACCCTAAAAGTAGCCTCTTAAACAAGGACACAGTAAGATGACCATACTCTGAGAACCAAGAAATGGGCCCTCACCAGACACAATCTGCTGGCACCTTGACTTAAGACTTCCCAGCTTCCAGAACTGTGAGGAATAAATGTTTTGTTTAAGCAACCCAGTTTATGGTATTTTGTTAGCTCAAATTGACTAAGACACCAACTTAATCCAGAGCCCAAAAATTACACAGAAAAAATTCCAAGAAATGTAAATTGTCAGTCAAATTACAAACCATACAAGAAACAAGGCATCTTAAACAAGAATTAGCAGGAAAAAAACAACAGAATCAAACTCATAAAGACATGGAAACTGGAATTACCAGTCATAGATTATAAATATGTTTAATATATTTAAAGCAATAAAATAAAAGATTGAAAATATAAATAAAGAGCAAAGTTCTGCCAAAAAATGAACAGGCAGATTTACAAAAGAATTAAAGGGGTGCCTGAGTGGCTCAGTCGGTTAAGCGTCCGACTTTGGCTCAGTCACGATCTCACAGCTTGTGGGTTCGAGCCCCGCATCAGGCTCTGTGCTGACAGCCAGCTCAGAGCCTGGAACCTGTTTCAGATCCTGTGTCTCCCTCTCTCTCTGATGCTCCCCTGCTCATGCTGTCTCTCTCTCTCTCTCACTCTCTCTCTCTCTCTCTCAGAAATAAAAAACATTAGGGGCGCCTGGGTGGCTTAGTCGGTTAAGCGTCCGACTTTCGCTTGGGTCATGATCTCGCGGTTCGTGGGTTCGAGCCCCGCGTCGGGCTCTGTGCTGACTGCCAGCTCAGAGCCTGGAGCCTGTTTCAGTCTGTG